CAGCCGATCTTCGTAAAGGTACGGTTTCCAAGCTGCGGCTGGCCGCAGCGGCTAGCCGCAACGATCAGCCGTAACGACTAAACGTTGCATGCCGACTGGTTTCCTAAATACGACTAGACGTTGCGGCCGGAGTTCATTTTACCCTAATATTGTGTAGAGTACAGACGTGTTTTTTGGTAAATAATTTATTTATTATACTAGTTTTGTTGTTAATTGTTAGTTTGTTAACAAAGTATAGTGATGGAAGAAGTTATTGATAATATAATATAATATCTTTATGTATTCGTGGGAGCTATCATACAATACGGATTGCTTCTCAACTTCTTCCACCAAAACTTCATCATTATTCGACGAAAATGTAGATTTTGACATAGTTTTTAATTAAAATGCAAAAAATACAATAAAACACTATATGACACGCACCACGACTCACGCAATGTACTGCTACCAGACCACTATAGCCGCGAGCCGCAACGACTATTTAAATCACGCAATCGTCGATCGCACGTTGGAAACCACGCTCCGCAATTTTAAATAGCACAGTCAGACTACGTGTGCCGTTGCGGCTAGCCGCAGCTTGGAAACCGTACTTTAAGAATAACTAAAATTGTATAATTCCAAGCAACAAATATATATGAAAAATGACCTAAAAATGGAAAAATGTTCTAAAAATGTCAAAAAATGCTTTAAAAACTGAAAAAGTTTAAAAAATGCAAAATAAAAGTTTCATTATTAAATTCTCTGATGTATAAATCGAATTATAGACTTAGAAAGCATTGCCCTATTCTACCCACCAGGGGCGTATTTAGATATCATTTTTTTGGGGGGGGGGGGGGGGCTGTGGTATTTTCTCCAACTGAAATTCCCTAATTTAGCCTATTAAAAATAAGAGTTAGAAAATTAGTACACAATTTTAATTTTTGTCATGATTTTTAATGTTTTCAAAAAATTAATAATGAAATAATATATAATAATAATAAAAATACAATATTAATATAACAAATCAAATCAAATTTAAATTTCTTTCTTGGCCACTGTTAGCAAACTTATCTAATAAAATGTCATCTGGTATGTCAATGTCTCTATGAATAGCTAAAAGTGCAAGTCCCCCTAGTCTGGATTCTGAAGTTGTATTTCTTAAATACGTTTTGAGTCTTCTCAACATCGAAAAGCTGCACTCAGCTGTAGCAGTGGATACTGGTATTATAGCTAGAATTTTTAGTAATTCATACATGTTTGGATACATTAAATTATCACAGACACTCAAAGCCTCTATAGCTGTTTTGGGCTTTATGTTGTCTTCAATATTCTTCCACTTAGCTTGCCAAATTTCGTACTCTGCTTCTATAACGTCATTTAGCCCCGGTAAATCATTTTCATAAAATTCAACAGCTTTTTTTATATAAGAAAATGGTTTTACAACAACAATACTTGGTAAGACATTGTAATGAAGTTATAGTTTCATTGTGAGGTATAAATCTTTCATTTAATGCCATCATCAAATCGTCCAAGTATAGTATAAAAATAGATTTTTTGTAATATTCTTCAATGTTGTTAGATAGTACATTGCTTCTATTTCTTTGACTGCTACAAATACGAGGCATTTTTGGTTCAATATTTAACTTTTCAGCAACATCTTTGGCTTCTTTATAAATATTGTTAAATTTTAAATCAACGTTTTCTCTTATAGATTGAAACACAGAAATTACACCGGAAACTTGATTAAGAGCATTAAATTTCGTTTTGTATAAGTGGACTTGTATACATAGATTTACAACCACTAGTTTCCAAATGTTCTTTTAACATGTTGTCACCATTTTTCGAGCGATATCGAAGCAAACAACGGAAATTGCCATCGTTATTTTTTGGTTCTTCTAAAGAAATTCTACCAGAATCTTCGTGCCCCAGTAACGCTATTTGCTGTCTACCACATAACCGAATTGTTTGAATAATTGGCTTAGGTAAGTTTTGCACGATTTTTTATAACTTCATCTTTTCATTTACTATTTAATTTTACTAAAATATTATCTAGTTTTTTTCTAAAATTGCTTTTATGTTGTCAGCAGTAAGTAATGAATTTTTATGGTAATAATTTTTTTCGTGATTTCTAAAGTCTTCCAATGCGTCTTTTAACTTTGTCAAGGGTTTTAAAACAAGTTTACCTAACTTCTCATGTGATCCCTTACCAACCTGATTTAAATTTAAGAACAGTACACAGAATTTACAAAATAAACCCTCTCTTAATTTTGAATATGCTAACCATTTGAAAGTTTCAAGCCATTTAATTTAAAATTTACGTTTATATTTTCCACTATTGTCATATGGGAAATTAAACTTTAAATCGGGTGTCCATACGTTTTGCAAAATTGAAACTTTCTCTTCGTCACTTAAATTATTCTAGCATTCAACATAACCTCCTATATCAAACTTAGAATCTAAACATTTTAAACTAGGTTCAATTACCGGAGAAATAACTGGTGGACTTGGAGCTTTTTTTTCTGTTTCAAGTGTTGCCATAATGTCATCATCTTGTAAAACATTCGATGTAGATGGAACTGTATCATCGACGGATTCGGTGGACTGTTTAGATTTTATATAAAAATGCAACAATGATTGTTGAGTTCTTTTCATTATGCTTAGGTGTATTATTATTATTTTATTTAACCAACAAATAAAAACACTCGTCACAATCCACTGTCTTAGTAGTTAGTAGGTACGTACTACCTGCGATACTAAACGTCGTATATATTAGACATCAAAATATTTATAATAGCGACTATAATATAACAGCGTTATTGGCCGTCGTTGTCACAACTTCTCGGAAATATTTTTAGCTCATACAGGCTCATAATGCTCGTATAATTATTGTACGGTGATTGAAATGCGACAACGCGTGTATATCAGTAAATCAATTCTAGATAAAAGAAATCGAAATTACGATAATGCAGCAGTACCACATGTCAAAATTAAGCATTATGTACCTTTATTGAACTTTTACGATTTTACATCTAGTAGGACATAATACGTAGACTTAATAAACAATTCCTGGATTTCGGGGGGGGGGGCTGAAGCCCCCTCAGCCACCCCCATAAATACGCCCCTGCTACCCACTAAAAAATGTATTTTGTATCAAAGTCCGTTCCCTGCTAATAACATTCTACAATATCTTGAATCACCACCTTCGGCCCGTACATGCACCGTCAATTTTTTATTTTTTTTTAACATTTTATTTTTTTTTTCATGTTGTTTTTTGAATTCGATATTCTATTTTTTTTATTAATTATTATTGTTCCATTTGTATAAATTTCAGTTTTTTCAAATTTATATTTTTTATTGTATTTCATTCTTTTGAAAAAAAATTTTGTATTGTTAAAAAGTGAAATTATTACTTTATATAAAAACTACTTTTTTTTTTATGTTAAATGATTATAATGTGATGTACAACAATAACTTTTTTATAAATCTGTTAATATTCATTTTGTTAAATATAAAATATTCATAACATATAATAATGTATGTACTTTACTGTACTGTACAGTAAAGATAAATGATTAAAGAAGACACTTACTTCGACAACTAGAGTTGTTAGAGAAACCGCACGTTGACGAAACTTCTAAGGGCGTTTCATTATTCGTTTGTAGGAGTTAAGTGGAGAAAATAACGCGGGACCAATTTCTTTTCAGCCTTTCGGGGGAAGCACAGGAGAAGGGATATCGGAAATAGGTAAATATAAATCTTTATCGAAGTTGTTTTAATGATTATTTTAGGAATTATGGTACCGAGTATAGTAATTTGTAGCGAATACTGTGCACAAATAATTTGTAGCAATGTATAGAACACAGGGCCGTCGCGAAGGGGTCTTACCCCACCTCCCCAAACGACGTCCCTGCCATGGACGCAATGTAGGGGTGACACGAAATCTCCAAGGGAAAAGGAAAAAAAATAATTTTAATAAAATAATTGTATTGCCACAACTGTCATGTAAATAGCATACCTTTAAGTTTATGTCTTTATACTAGTTAGATCCGATAAATACGTGCAGTATTTTGATTTGCGAAATCACTGCATTATCTCATTGATTTAATCGGAGTCATCAGTCGCTAGATATGTAGTGTCATAACTCTAGAAGACAATATGAGACTAGGTCTTTCCACTATCAGCCCTAGACTTCCTCAACTTAGTAAAATCTACCAGAGCCCAATCTCTCATCAGTTTTCATACAAATCATTATTAATTTTCCTTTTTTTTTTTTAATTTGCAAAAAAATGATAAGTGTTATAACTTATTTGCTATCGATTTTAAATATTATATATAAATTATATTTATTTTGACTATAATTACTAGTTTTTATAACAGTCGTCTTTTCGGGATCAGAAACTTGATTATTTGTCTGTAAAGCACATACTTACCAAATATCTCCTATTCCTTTATGGCGTTAGCTGAAATATATTTTACTGAACCATTGCAAACTTAATTTTCAATTTATCTTAACTAGTGTGGGCGAAACGGGCAGGGTCATTTTTGGACGAATTGGGTCCCGCTCTCATTCCCAAAATAATAATGAGATAAAACTTATATTAACTGTTTATAAACACATAAATAAAACATTTTATTTCATTTATGGTCTATTGGTGATTGACTAGTTATAAATATATTATTATAATTTATCAATTTTAATGAGTTAGTTCATATATTCTGTTGTCATATCAAATTTGAAATGCAAAACAGTAATTTATTGTCCTGGTTAAAATTATATTCTCTTGACAATTTTAAATTTAATATTTATGCCATATCAATTTATTTAGTTAGGTACATGAATAAATAAATAATGAATGTAGATAGGACCTAATTGGACAGATATAATTTCTAGCATTTAATATTTAGTAACCATGTTTGAAGGAAAATACCTAATTACATTAAGTTTTTAGACTAGAATACTTACTATGTTGCATGGAAACAATAAAAGTTATAGGTTTCTTAAAGAAACTATAGTTGATACATAAAATTATACATAATATTTTAAAAATCAATGCATTTATACAAATATAAATGTTTTATAAAAATTAGTAGAGTAAATTATACTGGTGCAGTTTATCAATCCCGTAGATCATCTTCAGTTTGTTTAATCCTTAGTTGACATACACCAGTTTTCAAACCCTAAACAATTTTAAATGAAAATAAATATATTTAATTTATTTTTAAAATTAAATAAACGTACAAGTTTCCATGTCAACATGTGCATATCAGAAATAATTTCTTCATTTGCTTTTGCCATATAAAGAGAGAGTGCTTGTGAATGATCAATGAACGGAGCTCGATCAGCTGCCATGAAAACTAAAGCTTTTTGATCAATTTCCCACTTTGTTCTATACAATTCTTTTAAATCTTCTGGTAAATCTTGAATTTCCTAAAAATATAATTACATTAAAAGTTAAATTTACAACAAAATATAATTATTTACTTGTATTGAACCCATATTATCAACTAATTTAGATATTATTTTCTGATCCCAAAGATTACGATCATATAAATCTTTCAATAAATGTGGATTAACAACCTAAAATATAAATATAATTATTATAACTTAAGTAATGAAAAATTTAGAAAATTAAACTTACCTGGATTTCTTTAGGTCTACTTTCTTCAGATGAAATATATCTAAGTTTAATATTTGAATCTAATGGCTCAATAGAATTCATACAACCAAAAATTTTAGATTCAATTTCAGTATTTGAAATAATTGTAACCAAAGAATTCCTTAGTCCATATTCTGCAATTTTTTTTTTTAGACAGCTCCAATCCCACAAATTAGAAGGTTTCACATTCCATAAATCAAATTGTAGTAACTACATAAAAAAAAATTAAAAAAATAATATGATAAAAAGTAATAAAAAAATTATAAATAAACATACTTGATAAACTTACCCCGTTACTTGCAGGACTATTTAAGTATGTTTTATAACAACCATATTTAGCAGCTAATTCGCAGCTTGCTTCTAAGGCACCATAATAAATTGTTTCATGAATTTTTACATTAAGCTCTCTAGCTTCTTTTTTATCAAAAGGATATTTCATTTTTAAAAATAAATCTGCAAGCCCCAGAATACCTATTCCAATAGCCAATTGATTTTGTTTAATACCTAAACTACATTTTTCTTCCTAAAATAAGAATATTATGACATAGTTAAAAAGAATAACTTGAGAGAAATAATATAAAATACCTCGCAGAATACATCATTATTTGTTTCAATTATTTTATTCAGATCATAAGTTACTTTCTTGACAGTTTCTTTGAGTTTAGAAAAGTTGTAAATATTTTCAGATGTTAAAAACATATTTACAGCGATTGAAGCAGTAGTACATGTAGCCACCTATTAACAGAAAGATTCAATGTATACAAGTATAAATTATTTGTCTAGATTATAATTTGAATTTATTTAATAAGTTTTGGGCTTTTGTGTAGCAAGTGATCTATGGCCTCTTTTAAGGTGTATCAAGTGATCTACCGTATTATACAAGGTGTAATTAGTGATCTACAATTATTATTACCTATTATTATACCCACATTATTGTAGACCAAAGTGGAACAAGATTGCCATAACGATTAATGACATTTACAATATAACTTCAAGTCATTAGCATTGTTGCTGGATAAGTTAGATTCAAATTGTTTGTTGGTTGGAATTTGTCTCTAATGTGTGCGTCTGAATTTTATAAAATGTTTACTTTAATTGAAATTATAATTATATTTGGCTAATAATTTTTATTTTTATATTTGACGAATATTTGTATATGATATACTCGTATTAAAAAATATAATGTGTTTTTATACTATTAAAACGTAGATCACCTGTTACACGAATGACAATTTTCGTTAAGTATTTATAAATATTTAATGCTGTATGCATACACCCGACACCATGGTATATAATATAATGTAGGCCCACCTACTTAGAACAATGCCTATCAGTTAAGGATTCAAAGTATGTATTTAGTTAAATACAACAACGGTATTTAGAAAAACTTAGAAACTTATTTTGAATATGATTAGGCCATTCAATACTAGTTTGTTGATGAGGATCTCATATAAATTAGGCATATTCAAAGATTGAACAAACAAGGGAAGAATAATGCATTATTAATGCTAAAATATTTTTAAAATCATGAGTATTATGATTAATAAATCCCCATATTTTTAATGATTCATAACAAATACAGTCATATGGTTATTAAAAAATAGATTAAAGGAAAAAATAACACCTAAATCTTTGATAGATTGAACTTGATTAATAAGTGAATTATTTATAGAATAATTAAAATTAATAGAAGAATGAGTTTTACAGAATAAAATAGAATTACATTTCATAACATTAATACTCTCTATTAATGTTATTTTTATCAACATTATTTTGGCACCAATTGTAAAAATTATTTTGGAGAATTTCACAGTCTGACATATTGTTAATAATTCAAAATAATTTTAAGTCGTCCGCAAAAAGTATAAATTTACACGAAAAAAACATGTGAATTGTTGTCATTGGTCGGACAATCTTTATTTAATGACTATGATCAGGCATTCTTAATATTACCGACCACGGTCAGATGGTCCTTATATTACTGACTATGGTCAGACAGTTCTAATATTACTGACTATGATCAGGCATACATTATGTAACTTACCATGGTCTGGTGTAGACACTGCAATATTTTAAAACTTATTAAAAATAAAATACAAAATTACTTCATCTGATGCAGTAAATTGTACAGTGTCTCCATTACGCCCAGCACATTGAATTGTTCCCAAATTTGATTCGTTACTTTTAGCATTACATGCATCTTTAAATAATAATAATGGTAAACCGGTTTCAATTTGAGATTGAATAATTTGTGACCATAGTTTCTTTGCTTCAATTTGTCTTAGAACAAAACTTTTACTTTTTAATTCATACCTAAAAATATTTAAAACTTATAATAAATTAAATTTTATAAAATGCATCTATTATTTATATTATTACTCTCTGTAAAGATGGTCAAATTTATCTCCATAAACTTCTATAAGACCAGGACAATGATCAGGACTCATAAAACTCCAAATCTCATCATTCTGAACTCTTCTCATAAATTCATCAGGTATCCATAAAGCTGGGTAGCTGTTTTGTAACTTTAAATCTGCAATAGCAGTTTTCCTAATTTGATCTATTACTTTCATAATATCTGCATGCCATAATTCACAGTAAACTGTAAGGCCATTAATACTTTTAGGCCTTTCAGAAGTTTCAAAGTTATGAACCACAGTATCATATTGCTTCAACATAAGAGGAAGACCACTAGATTTTCCATTGCTACCTTTAATATAAGTGCCTGCAGCACGTATTTTATGTACATGAATAGCAGTACTTGAATAAGGCAAAACAAACTTTGAAAAACGGGTAAGAGTATCATATATACCATCAATACTGTCAGCTATCATTGCTACTGAATAATGACTAATTATAAATAGTAAAATTAAAATTTTAATAAACATTTTTAATTTTTATAATTATAAATGTACCTGATACTTGGTTGATGTACTTTTTTAGTAGCAGGTTGCAATCGCATAACTACTGGAGAAAATATATACAACTTTTGAGATAACATATTATATGTTTCAATAGCCGAATCAATATCATTTCCATGAATACTAACAGCAATTTTCATGTATAAATGTTGAGGCCGTTCAAATACTTTATTATCAGATTTAGCTAAAAAATAATCCATTAAGTTCTGTAAATCATAGACAAATAATAATTAATATTATAGAACTATGTTAAAAATAGTTATAGTATTACTTTAAATCCAAAATAATCTAAATTATAATCATTTTCATGATTAATTGCAGAATTAAAACGATCTTTATTGTTCATAATTATTTTGTAAACATTATCTGATAAACCAATATTCCAATATTCATCATTTTTATAAACATCATCCATTACATCTATATATAGAAAAAAATGTTAAGAACAAATCAATACTAAGTAAAACATACAACTAAATATTTATTAAATATTTATAGCTCAGTGCAAACAATAAAACATTGAAGATATTATAAATGCATAGGTTTTTCCGTCTTACAAATACATAACACAGAAAATGTACATTTAATAATTTAAATGTTGTGTTGTTAGCTTTAATAATAGAGTAAACTTATTAAAAATTAAGAAAAGTTATTAATAACTAATTATCTAAACCTAAAATGAAAAAATTAACTTATCAATGTTTTGATGGTTAGTTATTTAAAATAATTTAATTTTTAACTGAGTAATGAATATTTAACTAATTTCAAAAAAAAATTCATCACTTGAATAAAAAATTAAAATGTTATAAAAACTGACCAAGCTAAAAATCATGTTATTCCTTTTATTTTTGATAAAATATCAGTGTTACTCTTATTTTAAAGCTAATGACAAACATTTCAACATCTGAACACAAATTTACTGTTTTATGTTGTACAACAAAGACAACATATGCAGGTGTAGGATCCTCTTTAAAAACAAAGTTAAATAAAAACTATTAGTATTCATTATAGCAGTTATGCACTTATTCATAAACAATAAGAATATGTTTCAAGTAGAGATAAATATACTTTTTTAATATATATAATATATTCAACAAAAATTACCACTAAATTTCTCTTTAGTTTGTTTATGTAGATTAGAAATAGCTATGCGAGATGCTAGTTTCTCATAATCTGGATGTAGAGTAGTCATAGTAATTGCCATTTCTGCAGCTGCATCATCAAGTTGAGATGTAGTTATACCAGGGTAAAGACATTTTTTTATTACATGAATTGCCATAGCAGCCTTAAAAAAAATAAAAGTTACATTTTGAAAGAAAGTTGCTTATACAATAAAAAACATATGCAGTTTTATTAATAACGTTAGGAAGTTCTTATATATAGCTTTTATATTTGTAAAATAATAATTATAGGATTAATTGATTTATTAAAAAAACTTAAAAAGTTTATAAAAATAAAAAATATTAAAATTTATTGCACTCACTGGATCAATATTTTCTGAATCTAAATTGTAGCACAACTGTTTAATCCGCGCAATAATTTCATCATAATGTACACTTTCAATACTGCCATCTGAAATTATAAAATTAATGTTACAAACATTTTAAATATTGGGCTGAACAACTCATTTTTAGCTTAGCATAAAAAGCTATTCAATATTCACATAATCAAGGTGTATTTCACCTTGCATAAAAAAAAATCTATTTTTTTCTATGAAAATAAATTATATATATATATAATATATAACAAAATTATTTTCATGTTTAATATATATCAATATTTCCTTTATAACTAGGATCTTCAGCCCATATTAGGTCAGATTAAATTAAATCTTCAGCCCATCTATATTTAGATTCAAAACCAAATTTTATGCATGTTCAGTATTTTTCTATTTTTATAAAATTAGAACATTAATGTGATATACCAAGAATTGCATAATTGATATCCTATGTTCCAAAACAAATGAAATAAATGTAGAACTAGGAATTTTTACACTCAGCAAATATGTTAAAATTACGCCCTATCATAGACCAATAATTAAATACTTTTTTGGAGAATTTTTTTCTAGTAATTAATATACTGTCGCGTCCTGCGTAGTCACATAATAAAATACATCACAAGGAGGTTCTCATGAACATTAAAAACCACAATTGTGTATAAGTTAGACTAACCCTACATTACAAGACATTTGACAAATTAAATGTATTAAATACAAAATAATTGGATTAATTTAAGTATATACATTATCACACAAACGTCACACACCTACATAGAATTAAACAAGGAGACAAATTAATAATTATTAGGATAACACACAAAATATCACATAACATTATTCAATAAGGAACAATTTTATTGATTAAACACACCCAAGAGATAAATTAAATAAATTCTATTTAATTGGTTCACATAATCATTTTATGGGAATTGAAATAAAATAGTTAATCAAAACAATAGTGACTACATCCTGGATCTCTGCATCAATAATTATGGCCTGGTCGGTAGATAACCCACACACACTCAGAATCAATAAAAAAATATCTTATTTTATTATCAGTTTTCATATACACACACACACTTGCATATATCAGATATAAAAGGGACCCAAAAACAAGGACAAATCAGACGAGTTTTGGCTATGCTGCACTGAGCACCTTCATGTCAGTGTATGTCATGGTCCAGACTTAGAAATATTTCAAACTATTTTTATAAGTTATAATTGTTAAGACTTGAATAATTTCTATAATCCAAATTGTTTGAACTTAGAATATTTACAAAATTGTAGTTAGAATAATTTTATAAGTTTAATAAATTAAATTATTATAAAGAGTCTTAATTATTCTTCACTACACCTACATCCAAGCGTTGACTGAGACATTAGCACTGAAATCACGGATCATACGGTTGGCACGTAAAAATACAATCATACTAATTGAGTTTTAACCTAATATCAGTATTTAACAAAATTAAAAAATATCAAATTAATTATTAATAATTACAAAATTTACGCCCTCTAAAATGTTACGCCTGGGGATGAATCCTTATATTCCACCCCCTAGTTCTGCCCCTAAATGTATATATTATTAAAAAAAAAATAATTTACAATCCAAAATTTTATAATAATAATTTACTATAAAAATAAAATACTGAAGTTACTATAATTATTTTACAATATGTAAGCACCTATTTCTCTTAGATTATTTTTTTTAAACAATGCAAATCCTATAAGATGACAAAAATCATAAATAACATTAAAATTATAATTAATATGGCGAGGAAGGCCTTGAATGACAAAATTTGAAAAAGTCTAGCAGATTTTCATATATATTGTTTTGACAAAATTTAATATTCAAATCAATTTTTTTTATTAATTCATAATTTACATGAGGAACTTTTTATTAAATACTTTTTGTCAAACCATTATAACTTTATTGACATTTTTTAAAAAAAAGTAAGAAAATATGAAAATTTCAACTTTAAATAAATAGCTCAAAAAATATTTTGAAAATAATAAAAAAAATCTAAAAAAAATAGTGATATAAGCATTCAATGAACATTTTCTAAAAAAAGTTTCTAAGATTATTATTTTATGAGTTACCATGAAAAAAACAAACAAATTTTTTTGAAAATTGGAAAGCAAAAATAATTCTTTTCATAACTATTTGATAGATCTTATTTTTTTTTTTTTAATTATTAAGAAAACTGTTAGTAACTTTGTAAAACAACTCCCCTCAACCAAGTAGCAACCAGATATTTTCAATCAAAAATCCCTTACGATTATAATAAAAAATAAACACCCACATATGGCTTATCTATTTATTTCTAATTATCCTTCTTGTTTTATAATAATTCATCATAATTTATGTATAATTTATGTCATAAAAGCATCTTTCAGGTTTGAGAAAAATTCGTCAAATATAATTTGTTTGTTTGGGTGAAGAGACCTCCCACTTTCACTTTTCCTTATTTTTTTTTCTAGGTAATAATGGAGATGTGCTATTTACTCTTATTTCATATCGCTTTTTCAGTATTTTCCACAAATATTCCATGGTTTGGGTACTGACATTTGTATCAGGATCAATAAATCATTTTCGATGATTCAAGGTACTGTGTATGTATCCTTCAATGTTTAATGACAAATAAGATCTCCATTCATCACTATGGATTATACTTCATAGTTTTACATAGTTTTTAATAATAGCAAGTAAGGTTATATAGGTTGGTATAGCCAATAGCCAGATAAGAATACACACATTGGCCGTAGCTCGCACATTAAGATTATCAATTTTCAGTGGTACATTGGACTAGTGCCAGACATTTATTATAACCTATTATTTTAACATAGTTGCAAATAATTGTGTACTACAATTATTGTAACATTATACATTGTGTAATTGTATTTTTATACTACAGAAAAACTACAGATTACACAATTCTGACAGTTGTTAAAGTGTGATTTTTCAATACTTATTTAATTATACTATCTTCTAACTAAACATCTTTGTAAGCTTCATACAATTCTGGAACAGATTTTTTTAGGTTATTCCAATTTCTAGCAAAACAAATTAGTCTACTTCTGAAATCATCAATAGTAATTTATTTATCAAATAGTTGTATTATTTCAGTGACCTTATATAATACATTAACTGAATGTTCATTTTTTGTAAATCTTCAAAATGACTAGAGGACAAATACCCAAAACATCTGTAAAGCTTTTAAATTCCTACATTTTTTTTTTTCAATACTTGCAATAGCTGTATCTAAAATAATATTATTTACTTCAATTAAATACTTAATTTTACCGTTTTTAATTTAATTATCATCTTATTTTTCTCAATATAATGTTTTAAACTTTATATCTTGTAGAGGGTAATTAATTTTCAATATCTATATTACTGAATTGTAACTATTAAAATTTGTCTGGCATAATATCTATGAACATTTTGAAATTATTTAATAACTCATTGAAATTTCTGAATTCCTTTTAAATCATTAATTGCGTTACTAACCATTTGTTGACACGTAAAATATTTATTTAAAGAAGCAAACCACCATCATTAAAGACTTCCAAATTCCCGGCGGCCCAATCCACCCCAGGTTGTACACAATATGCAGTAATTATTATTCTATAAGTAGCTATCTATAAAAATTAAAAAAGCTTTAAGTAAAAGTACTTAAGGTACTGCGATAGCAACCATTATATTATTATATCAATAAAAATACATACATGTAATATTATGTTATGAATATTATTTAAACTTTAAAAATAGAACTTACCTCTTTTTTGAACGTATAAATGTTTTTTTATTTCGGCCATTTCAAACAGAAACAAACCATAAACGTAAATAGATATTTAATCGTAACGAGTTCACCGACAAAGAATGCTAAAATGGCAGTCAACGTGCAGGGATAAATGGTAAATTATATGCAAAATGCATCCAAAGCTATTACAAAAATTAAGGATGACAATGTCTGATGAGTGTAATTGTTATTAGTATCAATTAGATTTAAAAAAATATTACATAAACACAATAAACTCAGACGTTTCGCGCCAAAAGTTAATATGTAATACAGTGGTCCCAACTTTAACCGTATCGTAAGCAATTTCACATAACTCAATTTTTGGAATTATATTTCTCTTTACAAATGATCAATTTAAATATTTCATAAAGGTTTTAATAAAAAATATTTCAAAGATATAACTAGACGTAAAATAGTTTTCGTGCGTTAATATATTAATAAATTATTTAAATATGTTTGCATCGTATACAATAATTTTTTTTCATACAATAATTATTTTTCCCATGAATACAACCCTTGGTCGGTTGCAAGAAAAAGGGCTTGGGTCAGTTCTCCTCATTGATAATAGATAAAAATGAAGTTTCAGAGTTCATTGGTGCCAACGTCAAAAAAAAAATTCTCTCCAATCCAACCTCTACAGTGTCATTAACATAATAACAAAAAAATCCCTGAATTTCAAATTGATTTATTTTCAAAATCAAATTTATTTATTTTCAAATTCAAATTTCAAAACCAATATTTTTGAAAAAATTAAAAACGGGTCTGTTCTATTGTTCCATATATGAATGAACAGAAAATATTATAGCTTGAAACTTAATAGTTCGTAATAAATTACATACGAGACAAAAATAAATGATTGCCGTCATCTAAATTTCAAAACCTATTTAAGGCAACAGCAACGGTGATCGAGCAGTCGCGGGGTGTCGCGGCTAACGAAAAGTTTTTATTTAAAATAAATTATGTCTTTTATTGTGAGACTTTGAAGTTATTATAATCTAATTTGGTTTCAAACTATAAAATGTTTGTTTTTAATTTTTTTCCTAGTATTGTGAGCCGCTCGGTTACGTCCGTAAGCTTGGGTTCTGCGATCGGTCCAGTTAATTCCGCTGATCACAAGTAAAGTTTGGAGTTCGCTAATTTGGAGTCAACGTGGAAGTTATTAATTCACACCATTAATATAAAAAACTGACACACTGTTTTATTGAGTCGTCCATTAAAATATTTATACACTCACAATAACTAATACACTACTGCTTAGCTGTTACACGACTGACTACTTGATGCCGGGTGGTCAGACGTGTACGTGTAAAATGGACAAATACATAGTCAGCATTTATCCCCACATATTAATACATATATATAAATGTTAATAATAATAATATAATATACTGTGGTGTACATAACACTAGTAAATTGGGAGTATCAAATCCTAGTGTGTGTACTGAAGCGTTTGTGGTGATAAAACACTTTTTGTAAAGTAACAAGATGTTTTTGTACTCACTTTCTCATCCAGTACTCGTTATCGTGGTCAGTTGTTCGAGAGTAAAAATACCTTAGAGTTATAAAGTATAGGTAAATCCTATGGTACTTGTTAATTTGTTCAGTACTCGTTATCGTGGTCACCAAAAGGAGAATTAAATAAGTTTTAACCGAAAGTTATCGATATTTACTCTTTGACGGTCTGAGCTCAATAATCGAAATATATCTGTTATATGTGTCAAGCCTTTACGTGGCGTATACGACAGGTCATACTGTAAAATACTATAAGTAGATCTATGTGAAAAATGTTCGTAAGGTCATCAGGTGCGATAAAACACGTATGAAAATGTAAAATTTCTAATTGTTTGACAAATATATTGCCACTATTGGAAAACTTATATATTACCATATCATCCATTATATTTACATACTTATGAATAGAAAAAAGATCAAGCCTATTAGGCATAACTCAGGTGTAGTATTCTGAAGATATTTTTTCAAACTCCTTAACTTCTGTCAGTAGTGGCAGTTAAAAATGGAAATATTGACTGTAATTTAAATACAAATTTAAATACCATACAGTATACACTAATAGAAAATTATAGATAAACAGTATTTGAGATACAATATGTGATTGTTCAAGATGTGGTGGTGTGCTAATTGCAATAAATAATAAATACTATTCTTGTATGTTACCCTTACCTCCCTGTCCCGTAGAACATTTATTTGTTATTGTCAAAATTAATTTCGTTTACTATATTTTAGTTAATGCTTATTTTCCTCCTCGCTCAACTATAACGTTAAACAATAAACACTTCGATATTATTAATGATCTATTAATTTCCTATCCCTACGTTAAAAATATAATTTTAGTAGGTAATTATAATACACCAAACTTAAAATGGCAATTCACTTCTCCTTCCTGTTCACCTACCTATTTAAATTTAAATCAATTGTCAGTAGACTTTCTATCTAAAATTTCATTTTTGAATTTATCCCAATTCAATACTGCTTTAAATAAAAATAACACCATTCTTAATCTAGTTCTTTCTAATATTGATAATATCACAGTTTCTAAATTTACGACTCCTCTTGTTCCTTGTGATGTTCACCATCCATCTTTACTTATAATTATTCCTTTTAATACTTATAAGCCTATTGATTATAATTTATTTACTTATAATTTTTACTCGTGTAATTACTCTGATATCATTAAATGCTCATGCTCAATAAATTGGGTTGAAATATTTTCAAATCTTAATGTAAATGGAGTTACAAATTAATTTTATTCTATTATTTATGAAATTATTCATATATTTGTTCCCAAAAAAATAATTACGCGTCAATAAAATCTTATATGGTTTGGTTTTGAACAAAAAAATTTAATATTTAAAAAGAAAATAGCTTATAAAATCTTTAAAAACTCTGGTGACATTAACGATTATAATAAATTCTCAAATGTACGTGTCCAGTGTAAAGTTCTGTCTAAATTGAATTACCAAAATTATTTAAAAAATATCCAGGAAGATTTTAAACATCAACCATCCAAATTTTGGAAATTTATTAATGAAAAACGCAAAAAAACATTTCTACCTGACTGTATGTATTTAAATAATTCTAAATTTAACCCTCCAAATTCTATTGTTGAAACCTTTGCTCAACATTTTGCTATTGTTTTTGAACATTATGATAACTCAAAATATATTGATCTAAGTGCAGATTCTCCGAATAACTCATTGCTAGCACCTTTATTTTCATGTAAAATCACCTTATTCGAAGTTTTTAATGCTTTAAATAACTTTAGTTCAAAGTGTGGTCCTGGACCTGATTTAATTACAAGACAGTCTTATCAATAATGTAAATTTGTCCTCTCTTCTCCTCTACTTTATATTTTAAATTTATCTTTATCTAGTGGTATTTTTCCTGATAGACGGAAAACAAGTATTATCCTTCCTATTCCTAAGACATCATATGACTTATCAAATATTTCTAAATACAGGCCTATCTCTTTACTTTCAACTGCATCTAAAACATTCGAATCTATTGTGTCGGATATGATAACTCTTGAACTTGATAGAATTATTGTTGACGATCAACATGGGTTTAGACCGTCTAAAACAACTACTACTAATTTACTTAACCTTCAAATTTCATAATTGATGCTTTTTCAGCTGGTTTACGTATGGACCAGATTTCACTAAAGCTTTCGATAAAGTTAATCACATTATTCTTTTACATAAATTAAAATATATTGGCATGTGGTCTTCTTCTCAAATGGATTGAGTCTTACATTTCACAGCGTACTCAAATTGTTGTTTATAAAGAATTTCAGTCAAAATCAATATAAACTACTTCGGGTGTTTCTCAAGGTTCTCATCTAGCCCCAATTCTATTTCTAATATATATTATTGACATTACGTTTAAAACTACAGTGTAATAAAAAATAATTATCACTAGAAAACTTTTGTCTTTTATGCAATATTTAAATTATTTTCATACATATAAATAACTATTCCTAATAAATACTACAAGAATTGAATGTAAATAGTTAATACAATTATTGTGGAATCAACGTTTGGTATATAGGTATTTTATATTATTTGAAATTAATTAGATTATTGAAGATTACATTTTACATAATATTTTATATGTAGCAGTAAATATATTATTGTTAAAAATAATAACTATAATTCATAAAATTAGAATATTTCAATAAAAACAATTTAACTTAGTTTGAGTATCTCTATTGAAATTATCATAAACATCCATATACAAACTGTAGAATTGACTGCACGCAATGAATTAAAATTAACCAAAATCATTCAAATTTAATGACTTACTGAAAGACCAGAGAAACTAACCACACATAGTAAAGCAAGTTAGGTTTCATTTTACAATATGTATATGGTAATACTAGTAACGAGGAAAACATTTTTAGCTGAAGAACAACATTAAGATTTTAAAGACTAGTAAATATTATGAATTTTAATATAGGAATTGCAGCAGAAATTTAAGTTAAATTAGGCCTACCCCTTAAAACTACTTATGAAATACTGAAGAAATATAACTTAAAAGTAAAAAAAATATGTGTATAATAGTCAACTTGATTTAACAATAACTATTTGTACATATTACAAGGTAAAAAAAACAATAATAAAATTAGTTTACAATATATAAAAACAATAAGATTGTAATATTTTATTATATATTAGGATATGGCCGGATTTGTCGTTGAACATAACTATCATTACGGTTATCAGTTCTCCTCAAAAACATCAATAAGTCACTGCCTTGATTCAGCTGATGTACGCATTCTCTTATCATTATAGATGTATTTTTCCTCTCTTTTTTGGACATTTAACTTCTAACCTAGTAAAGTACATACAATTTACAGAAATGAACCATAATTGAAACACAAAAAACTAAAAAAAAAAAAATCAAATTATTACTTTAAAGCCATCTCTACACTGTTGAAATTCTATAAAGAACTGATTCTCAACAACAATCAACTTTTCTAATGAAAAAAATTAAAATATTAGTATATTTTAGGGTTAACAATTAAAAAACATTTTATTATCATGTATGACTAACATACAATTAATTAAGCATACATATTAGACATACAATTAAGATTTATAACAATATATTCATAAACAATGAGTAATAGTATTTGAAGTAATAATTATTAAAACTTCTCAACACCAGATTAAGCATGTCAAGGTAATAGCGCAGTTAAAGCAAATACAGAAAATAAAAATAATAAAATAATAAAATAATAATAATAATAATAAATAATAGTAATAATAATAATAATAATAATAATAATAAATTATACATAATATTATATCCAAAATAAAATATCTAAAATACAAATTAGTTTATCTGGCAGGTATTATCATAATAAAATGTTATTTACCTTTATATAATGGAACCAACAACATATTAATTGACTATTTGGAAATACTTCCCTGATAGCATTCATAAAAGCACGTTCATAATCAGTGACAAAACGGATTCCATTATAACAAAGAGGTAAAATATTGCGTATTACTGTTAATAATGCAGAGTAAGTTTCTTGTGTTTCACTCCCCAAAAGAGCATAGACCATTGGAAATGCCTAAATGAAAAATAAAACGTATTAAATCATATCATAACTGTATATTAACAGTATTATAACCAGAAGGTATTGCTTACAACATACATCTTTATAGAGTACTTGAAATGTTAGGAAAGATCCTAAGCCCCCTGGCACTTGAGGAACAGTTTTATATGTGGCTTCTACTCCAACCAGCTCTACTGAAGCTAATATCTTCGCGATATCTATGAATCGCATCAATGTTGGCAAAAACAACTGCTACACTAATTCCATTCACAATCAGTTCTTATTGAAAAAATGTTGAGGGTATAATTTGAAGTGTGGATGCATAGTTTGCGTTTTAGGGATCATTCAACATTGCAGCAAGTTCATAGATGGTTTGCGGTGTTTTTGGTCTCCGCAACCTTTTCATCTTTTTCAACATTTCTGAAGACTGGATGCACGTATACTTTGTGGCTGCTTCTTAGTGTCTACCAAAATTACAGTTCAATTACAAATTACAATTTAAAGAACACTGTTAGTCAATTGTTAGCAAATACATATATTAATAATAAAATAATGATTTTAATAGTATTATAAAACATAACAAAAATCAAATTAGTCTAACCACAGAAAATTGTCCTAAATTTTGATTTTGTATATAAACATGCTACAAGATCATTAAAATTTAATATCATTAAATCCTATCATATCTAGTTAAATAGAAGCGTATTAAAATAATTAGTTTCATTTGAATTATAATTTTATAACTCTGATAATTGCATACACATAACAATGATTATACAATAAAAGTAAACTTACCAATTTATTTCACTGTTATAAATGCTTCGAAATGACGATGTTGTAATTGTATGATCAAGACCTCTTTCACTGATTGCATCCCTCAAGAATGGTACATCTAAGTCAAATCTAAGTAACAAGAAATTGTATAGAGGTTTAGATTATTATTAAATATAATCGCTGAAAGTTTTCTCATGAAATAATCGCAGGTGATTATTAATGTTAGGTCTTAAACAATAACCAAAGTGATAATGATTTATAATTTTAAAATGTAATCAGTAAAACCGTTAAATACATAAAATACATAAACACAGTATTGCCTAATTCTTTGGCGTTAAATTCCTGGCAGTAAAAATTTGGATTCCGAACAGTTGGTGTATCATTATAAAATGCTTTCTTATCATTTGTATCTCTTATCAATGAGGAGAACTGACCCAAGCCCCAAGAAAAAAGCGGGAAACCTTGAGTATACAATGTACATTGTTATGATATTGGGTATTAATTCTACAGTCAGTTCTGTGAGATTTGATATTAATGAAATGCCAAGGCAGTCGACTGATTATTAAATGAGGTTTTTGCATGCGACGTCTATAATTAGTATATAATTTTAATCATTTTTAATCAATATTTTATTAATTTGCACGTATTGTAAACGCTGACTTGTCAACTCATAATTAAGCATGCCCAACGAGATAGGAAAATCGAAAACTAGGCTTTTCGTCAAAAAGCGTGGTAAGTGAAAATAAAAATTAATTTTTTTTTTTTTAATATTTTTTAGTTATTTTTTTACGGTAATCGGTCAAAATATCCAAGGACAAAATATCCTCGGGCAAAATATCCAAACCTAAATATCCAAATTTATCCGTTTTTCTAAAAATTAGTATCAATTATTTTATTGACTTGTTAGTAGCAATAATACCACAATTATTAACGATTGTGACCGTTATGGGTATTGTTAAATTGAGATATTCCGTTTTGACTTCTGGTTTTTACTGTTGGGTTTGATATATTGCCAAGTAGCAGTAAATTAAACGAATATATAATTGGTAATAAGTCGCAAACGGATTACTGAAATTAAATTCTGTAAACGTTAAAATTATTTTTTTCAGTATATTTATAAATTTTCACTATCGAAAATAGGTATTGCCATTTGAAAATCGAAAGTTGATAGTGTTTTATCAAATAAAGGAGGAAGTTAAAATAAAATTGTAATACAGTGTAAAATAGTAAAACCCAGAAAGTTAAAAAAAACCACCCTGTATTTTGTGATATTATAACGATTAACGTAATATATTATACTTTTAGTAATATACAGTGTATATAGGTTGAATTAATTTTATGAGCTAATTTTTATAATTTAATATTTAAGCTAATATTTTCACAAAATTTAGGTTTTTTCATGATTAAATAATTTGATATTTGAGCTAGTTGTATTTGAAAGTATAGTGTAATGTACTAATTTACGGAAAAACGAATAAATTTGGATATTTTGTCCGTGGATATTTTGACCTAGATTCAGTTTTTACCATGTTCCTACATGAAATCCTTGTTTAGATGGTCGAATGGAAGAAGTATTGATGGACAAGATCACATCACGTATTGAAAAATTATGTGAAGGACTCAACATGGATTTCATTGATCCGGTTATTATAACTTTAAATATTAGTATTATCTAATTGCCATTGATAGTATAAAATGTTTTTATTGTGCAAGCCAAAAAACTGCATGTATAGATAATGTAATAAATTTAACAATATTTATAAAACTTGACATTTAGTGTATTAGTATTTCTTTTACAGTTGTTAAGTTTTCTTAAATGATGCTAATGCATCAAATTGTAATGTTTTGATTAGAATTGTCATTTGTCCCAAGATAACCCCGGTTTTAATAGCATACCCCAGTATCTCATCGTTCATTTAGTTTGTAAAAACTGAGATAAAATAACATTTAATATAGTATTATTTAATAATAAAACACAAAATATCTTTGTATATGATATCATTATATTATAATTATCATATTGTGCTATCTAAATAACAATCTAATTGTTATGGTTTTATATAATAATAATATATCTGTATCAACTAATAAATACTAAAAAAAAGTGTTTGCTAATTTTTATTTCTTTATGAGCATTATATCAGAAAAAAAAGGGCTTTCATATTGATATCCCGGTCTAGAAATTTGTAAATCTAGCAATCCTACTTATAACATACTTGTTATAATTATGTCAAATAAATATTAATTTATTAAAAATTTATTTTTTCTAACAGGCTGAAATTACATTAAATGTAATAAGTGATTTATGCCCAGGTATAAGTACCGTGCAAATTGACAATCTTGCTGCTGAAACAGCTGCTTATTTAACAACTAAGCATCCTGATTTTGCAGTACTTGCTGCTCGTATTGCAATTTCTAATCTCTATAAAGAAACTAATGAAAAATTTAGTGGTAAACTACTAGTTCATTTAAATTTTTATATTAGATAATTAATTTTTTTTTTTTTTTTATTATGTATATTATAACTTCATTACAGATGTAATTTATGATTTATATAATATGACTAATGAACGTAATCAGAGTCGTATGCCAATTATTTCTGAATTCCATTATGATATTATTATGAAAAATGCTGATCGTTTGAACAATGCTATTAAACATGAAAGGGATTCGACTTATAGTTATTTTGGATTTAAGGTATAACTTATATATTTACCTTATTTGATATATTTATAATATTTGTATTCAATTTTATATTATTTTATATAATATACTTATTTCAGACACTTGAAAAGTCATACTTATTGAAAATAAATGGTAAAGTTGTTGAACGTCCTCAACATTTATTGATGAGGGTTTCAATTGGAATCCATGGCAATGATATTGACTCCGCTATAGAAACATATGATTTGATGTCATTAAAATATTTTACTCATGCTTCACCAACAATGTTTAATGCTGCTACACCTAAACCTCAACTTTCAAGGTAGGATTATTTTATTCAACTATATTCAATTTTTAATTCCCTACATTTTTGATTAGTTGTTTTTTAGTAGCAAATAAATCAGATTCATTGGATGATTTAACTAGAACTATCAAAACCTGTGCAAAAATTTCAAAATCTGCAGGAGGTATTGGTGTACATGTCCATAATGTTAGTGCAGCTGGTACAATATGGACTAAATATCCTAAACATAAATCACATGGTCTTGTTGAGCGATTGAAATGTTTTAATGATTTGGCTCAATATGTTGATCAAGGTGGAAGAGTAAGTATTTATTTAAGCTTAAATCAACATTTAGTTTTATAAACATGAATATAAAATATTATAGAGAGCAGGTGCTATTGCTGTTTATATTGAGCCTTGGCATGCAGATATTTATTCTTATACTGAGTTACGAAAAAATACTGGTGATAAAGATGAAAAAACCAGAGACTTATTTTTAGCTCTTTGGATACCTGACGAATTCATGAGACGTGTTGAAACTGATCAAAATTGGAGTTTAATGTGTCCACATAAATGCCCTGGTCTTTCAGATGTCTGGGGAGAAGATTTTGTAAAACTTTACACAAAGTAAATTTATAATAAATTCTTCATTCATTAATTGTATAGATTAATTAATATTATTCATATTAATGTTAAAATAATTTATCGTTTATATTTTAAATTTTTATTACTGGATCTTAACCTTTTATACCTTTTGAACTTATGAGCAGAAAAGTATTAATAAATATCCAATTGTTTCATAAATTTATTAAATATTAACAAATATTATTTATGTGTATAATAACAATAATAATAATATTGTGTAGCTTAGGGACTTAACATGTTATAAATTATGTGGTCAACTGGTATAAAATGTTTGTTTTACTAGGTATGAGAATGAAAAACGTTACAACAAACAAGTATCTGCAAGAGAATTATGGTTTCGTATAATAACTTCTCAAATTGAAACTGGTATGCCTTATGTACTGTACAAAGATGCTTGCAATGCAAAAAGCAATCAAAAAAATCTTGGTACAATTAAGTGCAGCAACTTATGTACTGAAGTCATTCAGTACACTTCCCCAGAAGAGGTAATATTATTATCATATTTATATTTAACTACAATGCTATAGATTTTTTTTTTTTTTATTGTATATTTAGGTTGCAGTGTGTAATCTAGCTTCAATCGCTGTTAATATGTTTGTAAAACCTAATGGAGAATATGATTTTGAAAAGCTCTTAAAAATTACTAAAATTGTGACTAAAAATTTGAACAAAGTGATAGATGTCAACTTCTATCCTGTCATAGAAGTAAGAAATAAAATAAATTATAATTTTATATTTTTTTTACACCTGATTTTTAACTTTTAAAGGCTGAAGTTTCAAATAAAAGACATCGTCCTATTGGAATAGGCATTCAAGGATTAGCTGATTTATTTTTATTAATGAGATATCCATTTGGTTCTCCTGAATCAAGAAAACTTAATATACAAATATTTGAAACTTTGTACTATGGTGCATTAGAAGCTAGTTGTGAGTTAGCTGAAAAATATGGGACTTATTCATCTTATCAAGGATCGCCAATTAGTCAAGGAGTATGAATCATAAAAAAAATATAATTTAAATATTTATAATATTAAACAACTTTTATTTTTAGATTTTCCAATTTGATATGTGGAATGTAAAACCTACTAATCTATGGAATTGGGATGCATTAAAAGAAAAAATTTCAAAAAATGGTGTTAGAAATTCTTTATTGTTAGCTCCAATGCCAACTGCTTCAACAGCACAAATTTTGGGAAACAATGAATCTATTGAACCATACACAACAAATCTATATTACAGACGTACTTTGAGTGGAGAATTTAGTGTAAATAAATTGTGTAATCAATCATTTTATTTTATATAAATATATTTCCATTGTTTACAGGTTATTAATCGTCATTTATTAAATGATTTAATTGAACTTAACCTATGGAATGAAGATATGAGGAATGAATTAATTTACTATAAAGGATCTGTACAGGTAAAAATTATTTTTTAATAATTAAGGTTTTTCTTCACCTTTCTCCCAATTATTTGGGGTCGGCCACCTTTATCCTAAATCTCCACTCATTTCGATTTTCTACATCCCCTACGTACACACCAACGGCTATATCGCTTTTAATCATATCCAAATATATATTTAATTATTTTCAATTAATGAATTGTCCAAAATAAATATAATAACCTAATGATAATCTCAACAGAAAATAAATAGCATTCCAAACAATATTAAAGAATTATATAAAACAAATTGGGAATTGTCTCAGAAGATTATACTAGATATGGCAGCTGATCGAGCAGCCTACATTGATCAATCTCAATCATTAAATATTCACATTGAGCAACCAACTATTGGTAAAATATCATCTGTCCATTTTTATGGGTGGAAAAAAGTAAGTTATTTATATATAATAATAACTATTTGTTCCTACATATATATATATATAATTTTTTTTTACTAAAAGGGCTTAAAAACTGGTATGTATTATTTGAGAACACGACCTGCTGCTGATCCTATACAGTTTACAGTTAATAAAAGTACATTATCTAACAATGTTGCGAGCCAAACGGAGAAAAATGATGCCTTAAGTATGCAACAATTGGTGTGTTCATTAGAAAACCGAGATGCTTGCACCATGTGTGGTGCTTAAATTACTGTTAATTTATTAATATGATTAATCTTTAAATCATTTATGCACTAAATCATAATTATGTAAAATTAATTTTGGATGATACTCAAAATTAATTTGGGTTAGCTTTAAAATTAATGAAATTTGTATTTTTTTTTCATTTATCATTATTTATTTACTTTTTTTCATTAATACACTACAATAAATATTTTCTAATTAAAAGGGTTGAGTTTATTTAGCCAACTAGTTTTTTCTTCTGTAGGTGTTTGACTACTATTTTTCAACTCTTCAATCAATTCTATTCTATACTTTGTCTTCAAAGGCTCTTTTTTTTCCTTAAAAGAATCCATCTCTTGTAACTTAAGTAAAGCCTCATTAAATGTTAATCCATACCATTCTATTTCTTCATGAGTATAATCCTTCAGGTAATCTTTATATTTATTATAAACTGTTTGCTGTTTTATATTATCATCAGGATATAATGTTTTGTCTCTTAGAGCCATTAAAATTTGACGTTTGATTTTCAAGCTTAAAGTGGTTCTTAAATCACATGCAGCCGTTTTCAACAAATAATGATCTAAACCATAGTTTTTATTTATTAAGTCAATTGCTCTTTCAGTCACTGTTGTAGACATGTATTTATCTAAAACTTCACTATAAACAACTGATTTCTTAAGAGTAGGAGTCCAAAAGTGAGGAACACGACTCTTATATTTACCACTTTGCTTAAAACCCTGAATAACTGCTTCTCCTCCCCATATACCAAAATGCATTGTTTTTGGATACTTTAAAGGAATTGGTATATTTTGGACAGGAATCACTGCATTGGTTTTTTCATCACGAGTCCATTTTCCTGATTTGGGTTGGAAATAAACTGGTTCTGGAACTTTGTGACGCCATTCTTTATAGAATTTTTTATATGCTTCTGGCAGTCTATCACCAAGACCAGAACTAATTTTTGTTGTTTTTGGTATGTACAACAGTTTTAATCCATTGGCTAGTTTAGATTCCATTTTAGAACTACAAAAAATGAATAAAATAAAATTTAATATACAAAAAAATATATTATTTTCTATTATTTAACAGGTCAACTGTCATGGCATTTATTAATGCTTATGACATATTGCTAAGCAGTGACATAGATACAATTTTTGTCTAGAGGAGGGATGTTTTAGAGTCAATTTATAATATTCTTAGTAAATCTTAATACGAGGTCCTATATAATAATATAACTTTTAAAATGGTATTATTATTATTATGTCCCGTATTTAATGAAAATTATTTTGATACTCAATTTTTAATATATACCTAATCATAGTAAAATGAAAATATTTTAATATAATATGTAAACATTAATAAATAATAATTATCATTAAAAAAAAAATCTGGGGGGTGGAAATCCCTTACACCCCAACCTATAACTATGCCACAATTGCTAAGTGAGTCACTTCTGGTACACAATTGAACATTATGATAGTGTTACGATTAATGGTATACATGGATCTGTACCATTTTTGATACATTAAAAAAATTAATTTTTCATGTAAATAATTACATAATAACCATTCAAATACTGAAAACATAAATTAAAAAGTTTATTTTATGTTAATAGTAGTTTAGTGCAATGAACAAACATTGTAATAAATAGTATGAATTTCTAGGCAATACTACACTGTATCATACATGGTAGACATGGTAGTTAACCTACTAAGCATTATTTTTCTGAGATCTTAAAATGCATTTTAAATGATTTTTATAACATTTCATTTTTTTTATTTTTATCAAACAAGATGTTGACAACTAAGTTAAATTTTAAAATAAGTTATTAATAAACGTGTAAATGAACACAGAACATACGCTCCAGGCAAAAAAAAAATGTTTGTTTTGGAGATTTAACTTTTGGGCAATAAATGTCTTAATTAATTTTCAATATTATATAACTAAATCTTTTTTAGAATGTTAACTTTTAATTACCTAAAATTGTACGCAGGGGCGTATTTAGATAGGGGCCATGGGTCCCGTTGCCCAGAGCGACACATTTTTAAAGATTTAGAGGGGCGGACAATTTTTATTTCGTACTTTACACAATGATACAACTTACGCAAATGATTTAGCAATATGTTTTCTAAATGAGTGTGTACAATTTTAAGGCTATATAAAAAATATTGAAGTTAAGCTTACAACAATGCAGATGTTACAGTTTATAAGAGAACATAATTTTAATAGTGTTTATCTTTATACTGGAGTAGCTTTACATATTTTTTTGTATACACCATCCACAAATTATAGTGTAGAGCGTTCTTTTTCCACACTAAAAAGAATAAAAAACTATTTTCGCTCTATAATGGCACAAGACCGGTGTTTGGCTTTAGCAGTATTAATAATTGAAGCTGAAAAAACCACTTTATTAGATTTTGAAGAAATAATTAATGATTTTGTTAGTTCTGAATCAAGGAAGAAAAATATTTAAATTTTGTATTAATATTGTATATCTAGCAATTAATAGAGGTTTTAAAAAATAATATTAATTAGTAACAACATTTTATTTTTTGACCGGAAGGGGGGGGGGCAAAATATGTGTTGCCCTTACCTTGAAATTCCTAAATACGCCACTGATTGTACGAGTAAATTATAAAGAATTCATTTTTTATACATACAATTTTCTAAATTTGGCTATAACTTTCATATGTGCATACAATTTGACCGAAAGGAATAACTTAATATTTAATATTTTATGAAATATAAATGTATCTAACATAAATAATAAATGGTACACACAAATTTAGAACAAAATCTAAGATCTATATAGGATCAGGCGGGTCTCCAATGGAGAGGGGGGTATGCCCCTCCAGGCTTTTCAAAAATTTAAATTTTTTAGTATATTTTTGTTCTTGTGAATTGTAAAATCTCGATTATATAATTAATACCTACCTAACAATTTTATTTTGTCTAAAAAACCATATTATGACATTAATATGAGGTGTGTATCATAATATAGGAACGTAGTAGGGCTCTGTGTCTTAGTACTAATTTTATGGAAACAACTATTATCAGTTAATACTTAAAATGGCTCCCCCCTGGTAAGTTTCTGAAGCCACGCCTGCATAGGATATTATACAAAAAAAGTTAATTGATATGACTAATGAACATAATATGACGTTATATTATAATCATTATGGTGTTCTATATATTTTTATAATTTATTAATCGTAAATACTAATGAACGTGGTTAAGTCAAAAATTAAGTAAAATACTTAGCTTACCTTTTGGTTTTAATTCGAATACTAACGAATATTTATTAATTATAAAAGAAATATTTTAAATGGCAACAATTTAAATCACATGCTGTCGTAGCCGAAATCACAACATAGAAAATTATTCAATCCCTAATAAGAGTAATAAAAATGTTAGATAATACAATATCTATTTATCATATTGTATTCTCTAAGTGATAAACACTTGTCCGAAAAATGATAAGGATCGAAATTCGGAAAAGCATTACCAACTGACTGAATCATAGACATAAAGATATCGTGAATATCGCGTTAAAAAATTATATTTTGATGAAATCTAGTGTTTTCGCGATAAAATCCAAAATCGTTAAAAATGAATAATTTGTATTATATAATATATCTATATTATATTGTATTTAGGTGGAAATAAATAAAGGGCCTAGAGGGAGGGTAATTGTTCCGGGTAACAGTTTTTTAAGGGTGGCATTTCAGTAGACATTATTAACTATAGCTAGATTTCCACACATTTTTATTATTAAGTACCTAATAGGCATATAATATTTGGTGGTCTTAAAGGAATAAATAAATTAAGTTTTAGTCACTTAAGACATAAAAGCACGCAAAAAAAAAAAAATAATTTAATATGATTATTAAAATAATATAATAACTCATCATCCCAATGTAATCAAATATTTTGCTACACGCGTGAAGCAAGAGTTCTAACAAACAATAAAGATTAAAAATCCTTTTTCACCTTGCTGTCTATTGTTCAAATCTAAAATACCCCGATAAACCCTATTGTAAAAGCAATTAGATATTATTACCATATGGCATAAATCAGGAATACTTAACGTTTAACATGTCAATGTAATCAAATAATATTTGACAATATGAGTTCTTGCAAACAAATTAACATAAAAAATTATTTTTTACCTTGGTGTCTATTATCACAAATACGCCGATAAACCATGTACCCTATTGTTTTGACAAAGATGTCCAATCAAGAGCGTATTTAGGGAGGTGATATGGGTGTTAGAACACCCCCCATCAACCTTATTTTATGGTATTTCACCAAATTGTAAACTTACTTAGATTATTTGAATTAATGTTGTATACAACTTGTAGGTTTTACATATGCTGTCTTAATGTAATCATTTTCATTTATATAAATACACGGAATTTATTTATTTAATAGTGGGGGGGGAGAGAGCAGAGGCTCAACTTACCATAAGTCTAATAAATTTTAAAACACCCCCATTAAATGAATCCTGGAAATGCCACTGTGTCCAATCAATGTACTTTAAGTCAAATTATGCGGGGAAAGAGAATTGAGATAATTTATTGGATTTCAAGTAGAGAAATTTGTCAATTGGTTAGTTTGTCTGTTTTTCGACTTTGTGTGGTGAAATCTACTTTTTGCATTTATATTTTTTAAATATTACCTATTGGCTAGTTATTACCAATATACACTTACCTATATTTTTAACGTTTGTTCATACATCGCGGCCTTATACGATACATAGCAGAAAATCTACGATGTAAAAAGGTAAGTTTTTACAAATGATTCAAATATTATAAGAATGCAATATTTTTTATTATATTTATTACGTAAAAAATAAAATTTAACTCATAATACAATTACCTAATTTAAAACTGCATAAACTTGACTATATTAATTTTGTATTTAAATTAAGCGCTATGGCACCGCATAGATCAAAATCTAGTGAAATGTGGAATCATTTCGCTGAGTTTGAGTACCTACCAAAAGGCGAAATGTGGTTATTGCAGTTCTACTCTTAGCACTTCGGGTGGATCATTAAATAATTTGAAGAGGCACTTAAAGACGAAGCATTGTACAATCCCGTTAAATACAAATGAAAAACGTATTACTCCAGGTTTGTACATTCTCATTTATTTTTATTTTTTCCGATTATTTCAATGTATTATAATTAATATACACTTAAATCCACTTATTAATGATAGGAAAATTGTTTTTTTATTCGTCTCTAACAATATAATAATCTTTAATATTATCGAAATTAAAAATATTAATAATATATTGAAAGAAATAATAAATAATGAATTAAAATGTTATGTATTATTTGAATAATATTAATATAATATTGTTATGAGTATTTGAAGTGTTATGTCTTATTATTGATTAAATAATGATTTAATCAATGATCATATGTATAACGAGTCACGGGTGGGTTTAAGTGGGTGTCTAAGGGGGTATTAGCCCCCCCCTCTTGGGACTAAGCTATCTATTTTACAAAGCAAAATATTATTATGTATTAATAATTATAATAAAATATCGTCAATGGTCATTGATGAATATGGTACCAATTTTATATACATTTTTTTATAAATAAATAGCTCACTTTTGTTGTTAATTATATGCATTTACCTATATTTTAAAATGGTTTCAGATTAAAATTGATACCAATAATGTAACTATTTGTCATTATTGTGAAAATAATGACTAACTTACGAGGGACTCAAAAACATATTTTGTAATTTAAAATTTTATATAGATTTAAAAAATCAACTAACTAAATTCTTAAACCTCCCTTATCCCCTCCCTTGGTTAGTGATTAAACCCGCTCCTGTAACGAGTCACGACAAGTTTATAGTTTTATATTGTATAATTTCTATTTAAATATTATCGTACTTGATACATGATAGGTCAATTAATAAGTAATAATTAATAACATATATATGTCGGAGCATTATTATCGGCACTGTCGCTATTTATGGGATTTCCGATTTTGTAATTGGTTTTAATATGCTAGGTTCATTACTTCATTTTTCTATTTTCATATCCTTCGATCGTTGTTATCATTCTTATAGTGAACGAGAACGAACAAGATTATTTACCATTTTGTCGCTTTGATAAAATAAACGAAAATGAACGGTGAACGATTTAAAAGTGAACTAGTTCTAATTTGTCATTTGGGTGAATATTTCAATTAAACTAGGTTATTCGCGAACGACTCATCTTTAGCAGGTATTACATAGGTAGTATGTATCAAGTACCATAGTTTAAAAATTTGATTTTATATTAAAACGAATATTATCTGTGAATTATAAATAACAAGGGTACAGATTTCATATTATGGAAAAGTACTGTAATGCGCACTATAATATGACCGAAAAAACATTAAAATATGCCCTACCATAAAAATATAAAAAGAAAAGTAAATAAAAATTTAATTTATTATCTTTTACTGACAGTTTTTTTTATTTTTTGTATTAGTATCTACAATAATAATCTTATGAATATATTTATTGAAAGAAAAAAAAATTATCTTCTGTTAACAATTTAAAAAAATTAAGACAAAAAACAAAAATGTGGAAATTTTTCTTATAACACATAAATAAATACTATTTTTCAATCAATATAAATAATAGCACCAAAACTTCGAAAATGATACTTAAAATCTAAAATAGGTACTTTAAATATGCAAATAATAACAAAATTATTATTATTATAATTACAGTATTATGCAAGTATATAATAAATATGTGTATATTATGTTATAATCAATTCATTATCAATTTTACATATTTCTAATAAAAAATTAGTTCAAATGAATTCGGACAATTCAGTTAATTCACGATTTTGGATTTTATCGCGAAAACACTAGATTTCATCAAAATATAATTTTCTAACGCTTATAACATTTTTTTGTGGTGCTCCGGTTAACTTTTTTAGTTCGCAGGAAAGAACAACTTCATTATATTACATTTTTAAATCTTACAGTGTCGTGTTGAACTAATTTTTGGTGAAGAGCAAAAATGTATATACCATAAGGTACCCTTTATTCATCTTAACGGCATTTCCACCACAACAAAACATTTACAATTTAAAAAATATACGTATATTAGACTGATTTTTAGAATCAGATGTACTTACTAGTACTTGTACTTACTTATCTAGTAAATTTATTACACTCATTAATTATCTTGTATCTTAATCTATACAGTGTATGTGAATTTTGTATAATGTTGTTAACATTGGTATTGCAATTACTTAGCACTAATTGTTTCTAGTGTAAAGGTCCGCACGCACTGCAGCGGTAGAGGTACCGGTACCGGTGACGATTTTATAGCTTGCACAAACTGCGGTGGTAGCGATGACTGGTGGATTTTTAATTAAACTCCCAGGAAATAATAAACTGTCATAAATTCACATTGCATTGCGGCGATTTTCCAATGTTATATAATTTATAATAACATAAATAAATGGTTTTGTAGTATAGTATTGTTGTATAATATTGTATTATAATCTAATATGTTACGGAATAAAATAAAACTAATTGCGTATACCTGTAATTACAGTTATGAGTAATTATTTACTGACTAGTAACTACTGTAATACATATGTACGTTAAACTCATGTTAATATATAATAATAAAATATGTTAATGAATGCTAAATGTTAATTTCACATAAATATAGTACATAGCATTTCATTATCTTGTATACGATAATAACTATAATAATTAATAAAATGCTATTTGAAATACTGGCATTGAATTTAATGACGACGAATTTCAAGTGAAATATCAAAAACCGCTGGGCGGTAGCGGTAAAATTCGAGCATGCAGCGGTTTCTGTAAAAACCGCGTCACGATATTTTTACCGCTGCAGTGTGTGCGGACCTTAACGGATCATATACAGTACATTTGGACGCAAAATATTTACTATCACCATTGATTTTATAAAATCAATGCTGTCATTTACAATATTTAATATAATGTTATGATGTATCTATATTATTATTATACTTATTGTTAAGTATTTTTTGGCAGGGGAACCACCCACCTATCAAACATTTCGAAGGACCAATTACTCCAAAATAATATCATCACCATGCCACTGAAATCTTACATAGGTATACATATTGGAATTTTATCAATTTTTAACTACCAAAAATTATTTTTACCAACATTTCAAATGTTATAACCAACCAACATATTTTTATTGACGTTGTACGAAAAAAAAATAAGATAGCGGAGAAACGATCGCCGCGAAATGATTTCGGCAAATAGTCCGGCGACGAAACGATCGAGTCCGATACTTTTAATAACATAATTAGGTATATTTTAAGTTTACTTTTTACATATTTCTTTTTAAATATACTATACAAGTATATAAATTAAAATATTTTTCAATAGTTATTTCCCCATTAGGAGCTTTTTTGATTTTTTTTACCTTTTTTTATACTTAGTATTTTTATACTTATTTATTCATGTTATAAGTACTTATTTTATTTTCTATCGACGTAATGTTTTTCTTCGTCAAACTAATTATTTATTTCTAAAATAATTATATCAAATACATATAACTGAATCGAATCATTCATGAATTACTCATCCCTATTTCTTACCAGTAGATCACAAAAATGTATGCTATACCGCACTACGTCGTCTGCGTCTCGATCTGTGCCTGGCTTAAATGCTATTATTATTATTTTATAAACAAGATGACGAGATATAATTTAATTTTATTGATTTTTATACCATAATATTATTGGAAGCATAATTCAAAGGTTTGTAAAACACTATCTGGATTGTAACTTATTAGCAAAAAACAATTTATTACAATATTATTTATTAAATAATGTAAAATTTGATCTTATACATTTTAAAATAAGTTGTAAATGTACATAAGTAGGTGTTGCAAAGATTAAGTTACACAAAATGAGTATAATTATTTACAAATATTATACAATGACATTGGTACCTTCATAAAAATAAACTAATGAATATAGAATATAAATAGCATTGAATATAAAAATATTCAATTGGTTTTTTTTGCACTACTACTATTTTTTTTTAATGATTGTAAATTTTAACAAGGTGTTTAAAATTATGCATTTGATCAGCACCAAATTCAATTAGAGATCATACTGCAACATGGAATTTATTGTTACACATTTAATTTTACAATTAATGTACGTGTTTAGGTGTTTCAATCCAACTTATTTTTAAGTTAAGCCATTGATTTTGTAATATTAAATTGTATATTATGAAATCAATGGTTGAGCTTACATTTCCTTTATTAAAGAGACAATACCATTTGATGACTATAAATTATCTATATATAAAGCAACCACAGTTATAATTTTATTTTGTAAAATACTTATCACATCAAAATCAAAATCCTCATTATATTTGCTTAAAAAGTTTTAATGGTTATGATTTACATTAATGTATTTTATAATTATTCAATATTGACACAGATATTTTTGGATAAAATAAGCACATACCTATTATTTTATAGAAGATATAAAATAATTTAAATAATTCAATAATTACTAATATATTATACATTAATAATTATAAAATACAGTTCAATTTAAAAACATAAAAATGTAATACTTACAATTATAAATCCATCTAATTATTATTTTATATGTGACTATTGAAATTGATACAATATAGTACAAATAATAAATTACATATTTTCACAAAATCATAGTTATTATTATGTTATTATTATATAGTTTATATTATGAATTACAACAAGGATTAAAGAATGAAATAAGTATAAAACTTTTTGCCACATTAAGTTGGTATAAAAATTTTGAAAATGTATAATAATTAATTAAATTAATCAGAGACTTACCAAGTTGATTGTAAATATATTTTATATAAGCTAATGTTTTTTTAATTAAATTAACGATCAAGTAAGCTTAATACTAAAAAACAATATACAGTTAAGACTTTTATTAGTAATTTTACCGTATATTTATAGCTTAATAGACTTAATATCTAATGCAAATAATAAAACTATTGTATGCAAAAAAAAGTAATAACAATTATCAAACTATTATTTATTTAGACCATAATTTATTTCCACCAGACCTAGCTCCTTTAACAGATTTTTTGGAAGGACCACTAGTATCAACTGACATTTCTTCATCTTGTACTTGGGTCCTTAATGCCTTTTTGACATTGGCTACTTCATTGTCCAAAGCAGCTTGATGTTTTAATACATTCTGTTTTGTTTGATTAGCATCAACAATACGGGCTTGAACTGTGGATAGAACACTCTCACATGATTCATTCCATTGTTGTAATATATCTATCATAACATCAATATCATTTGGTCCAACATCCCTTCCAACTGTCGAATCAATTTCCAGATAACCATTCTTTTGATCAAGGTCACCCATGACCACATTGTAATAAATTGCTTCAATTATTAAATCCTCTAAATCTCTAACATTATTAACATTTAATTCTTTTAAAAGAATATCATAAGGTATCCTCTTCATTTTATTGGCAAGAGTAACAATAGTTAAGTATTTCAGTTTTTTTGTTTGAGATATACTGAGTTCTGGAAAATATTCTTTTTTATTCAAATAATCCAAATACGTACCTTGTGAAAACAAACGCAATACATGTAAGTATGGAGCATGAGGAGTGTTCTCAAGTGCAACAACATTAGGGCATTCTAAGAGTTCAGCAAACACGAATGTATCAACACAATCTAAAGCTTGTTTAATAATTTCGACTAAATCCTGGCCTTCAACTTTTTGTGCACGCAAGACGAATTGTAATAAAGGTTTTTCTAAAACTTTTTCTTGAGCCATTGCAGTTAACTCGTTTTGCACTCAACACGGAATTGTTTTTAATTCAAGAAATTCAAGATTTAAAACAAAAACATTTCCATTTAAAACAGAATTAATTTAAAATTTAAACACTATATCCCATATGAATTAATATTTTCTGTTTATTTTAACACATAAATTACAGTTAAGGTTCACATACATTTACCAACATAAAGCTGATTAATTTATAGCATAGTTTATATCTATGGTTTAAAGTAGTATTCAATCTATTCTGTGGAATAACTCGAACTTTTAGTTTCAGGTTTCAATACTAACTTATGAAAATATGAATACGATGAAAACAATTTTCATAACCTCAAAATAAAATTGATACAGTAATACAAATACTATCACAGAATAGATAAAGTATTATGAAGATCACATTAGCAATAATCGACTTGTTGTGATAACGAAATTTCGGTTGTTCTCAAAGATTATTGCTAAGTTAATACTCTTTATTGCTAAATAATTATCGAATCCAATAAAATCAGTGTGACCACCACATTAATGTATACTTTTATTGCTACCAAAGTGAATATCATAGATAAATTACATAGACATAATATTACATTATGTCTATGATAAATTAGTATATAAATAGCTATATATCCACCTTGATTGCTACGTTTATTAAAACGATACCCCAGTTCTACCGGATTGATAAGAAATTTCATGCAGCAATACGGACTGCCATTAAAAAGAACAAATTCGAAACACGGTTTGAGCGTGTTCCGGAAGAGCACGGACTATTAAAATATCAATGGAATAAGAGGTGATGTTTTATACTGTGTGAAAATATCTAAGGGAACACTGGCCGATTTCGAAAGTTTTATACATGATGTTACGTCGGAACATTATATCTTATTAATTTAAAAAACATTTTAGCGCGTTTTTCTGTTTTATCATACGGTCCATTTGAAATGTATTTTCCGTTTTATCAATTTATAAAAATAATTGCATATTATTTTCAAAAATGTGATTGTGGTTTTAAACTCAAAAAATATATTTTCAAACTCCAATATCAATTTTGAAGTAAGTAAATTCTGAATCATAATTTCATACTCCTTCGATAAATATACACTTTTGGTGTCAAAAATGACCCACTTACAAAATATTTATCAATTTTTTTTCCAGATGTTATCAGAATATGAGACTAGAAGAGTTGAAAGCTATTACTAATGATAACTCTCTAATACAACAAGTTTAGCATTTATCTACTAGATCATCAGGTGAATAAGCCTAGTAAATATTTTCTTAATTTTATATTATATTAAATTAAATGATTTTTCGTATGCAAGTTCTAGTATGGCTGAAGCTGAAGTGCAGGTGCTTAATGTAGTAAATATTGAACAAACATATAACAACATTTCTTCTACTTCTCAAAGTACATTTTAATTTTTAATTATTCAATATTTTAATTAGATTTTTATATGTATTTGTTCTATATTTTATAAAAAATAAAAATAATTTGGTACAAAAAAATTTTACTATATAATTTAGTACACATCATATGTACCTAGGACCTGTATTACATTATTTATTATTTTATAACATATTATTCATACAATATTTTCGGGTATATGGGTATTTACTAAAATAAATTTGAACCCACCTATATTTAAGTAAATATATAGAATATGTTCTTATAAATAATATGACAATTACTAATTTATTGTATTGTAAAACTATGATAAAAATGTTAATATGGTACCAATAGTTTTATATAATCTTTAACATATATAAAATTAATATTAAATTACTCTAATTATATCAAGTGGTATTCTAATTAAATATAACTTTTACTGGTAAAATATATTGATGGATAATTTTATTTTGTCAGATATACATTATGTTATTTTTTTAAATGAGATTTGTTGTTTTACTTTTATTTTATTAGAAATTTATTAGATGAATTTAAAAATATATATTATTATTTTTTTTTTTATCAACTTTCATTTTTTACACCAATACCTATAAAGAAATAAAGAGACTAATAACATTATGTAAACTGTACCTAATTATTGATTATGTTATTTTTTAAATGATATTTGTTGTTTAACTTTTATTTTATTAAAAATATATAAGTTGATTTATAAACCAACCAAGTTTGTTTTTTTCTTATTAAGGGGATTCCACACTATCGCTTATTAGAGTAAAATTAACCTATACGCGTTCCAATGTACCAACTTGAGTTTTACTCCTATAATAATTTTAAAAACATATTTGAATTTATTATGAAATCTATTTTGAATCCTTCGAATCAGAATCATAAAAAAAGAATTAAAAAACTATTTATATCCATTTAAATTTTTAAGAATATAAGATTTTTTTT